CACATTCAATTTATTTACTAACACATTTACTTATATTTAGTACTGGTTGAATATATAAAAAAATCTATAAAAACTTTTAAAAAATCTTAAAATTATAAAAAATGAAAATAAAGAACTTTTTTATTAAATTAATTTTGAAATTAAAATCAAAATAATTTTCTTTAATAAAAATCAGACGGGAACTTATAAAATTTTATTTTTCTTTTAATGTATCTATTAACACATTTAATTATATTTAGTATTGACTGAAGATAAAAAAATTCTATAAAAAATTTAAAAAATCTATAAAATTTCAAAAAAAAATCAAAAAAGGAATAAATAAAGAATATTTTTATAAAATTGATTTTAAAATTAATTTTTTTTTAAATAAAATTTTGGAAGATTTTCGATTTTCTTAAAGAAAAATAAAATTTTATTTTAATTTTAATTTCAAAATTAATTTTAGAGAAAATCTTAAATTTTGAAATTAAAGATTTTCTCTAAAATTAATTTTGAAATTAAAATTAAAATAAAATTTTATTTTTCTTTAAGAAAATCAAAAATCTTCCAAAATTTTATTTTAAAGAAAAATAAAATTTTCTTTTATTTTAAAATGAGTTTTATAAAAAAAAATCTTTACTTTTTCATTTTTTTAATTTTAAATATTTTTTAAAGTTTTTATAGAATTTGTTTATATTCAATGAGTATCAAATATAAGTAAATGTGTTAATAGATACATTGAAAGAAAAGTAAAATTTTATAAGTTCCCGTTTGATTTTTTTAAAGAAAAATAAAATTTTATTTTAATTTTAATTTCAAATTTTCTTTTATAAAAAAGTTCTTTATTTTTCAATTTTTTGAAATTTTAAAGATTTTTTAAAAGTTTTTATAGAATTTTTTTTTATATTTACTCAGTACCAAATATAAGTAAATGTGTTAGTAGATACATTGAATGTGCCAATAGCCCAGTGGTAAACTACTTTACAATTTCATCCAATTAACTCGGGTTTGAGCCAGGAGTCTACGGTTTTTATATTTTCAAATCGCTTAAAACGACGTCGTTTCATCCTTACGTCAACAATTAACGACGTTAATTTTTTCTGTTAAATTTGTTGACGGCGTGCTAAATTGGCAAGTCAATGAAAACATTGTTAATTAATTCTAAAGTCAATGAAAAGTTTATGTTCTTTTTGGTCAGCCTAAAAGTTCAGGTTTCTTTTGGCAATTCGTGCAAAGTTGGTGTTTTTTTTGCCGAATTCTCGTATTTCAAAATGTCTTGGTAGAAAACGACTTCTATCTTCTCTATTAAAAGAGAAGTACCATTTTTATCTACTACAAAATAGTCATATGTAGGTCCATATATTCATTTACATTTTTTTACATTAGTTTATTTAATGTATAATATTTTTATATAATTATAAGGATATTAGTAACAAATCTATTTTAACTGTAATTTTAAATTTTAGTTTTACTAATCACAAAATCTGTTGAGAAAAATCTAACAAAATATTTTTCAAAAAATTTAAATATTTTTAATTAATACACTGATTAATTTCATAATTAGTAGTAAAACAATTATTATAAATTAATCTTAATTAAATTTTTATTATAAAAATATAATAAATTATATGCTAATTTTATAAATTTTATAAGTATAGTCTATATTATATTAAAACAGAAGTAATAAATGAATTACATATAAAATTATATTAAATTGGTAAATTTATATATTTTGAGAAAAATCATTTAAATAAGTAAATAAAATATCATCCACCATTTAAGTGACTAAAATATCATTTATCTTTAAAAAAGATTAAACATTCGTAACTTATGTAATAAATTTTACACAAAATAAAATTGTTAACATATGTTATTTTTTATATTTAGAACAATATTTTATCTATTTATTTTTTTTTTAAATAACAGCAATATAATATATAAAAATGATTATATATCAAATATATTATAAAAATTTTATATTTATCAAATGAAAAGTTACCCGCACGGATGTACGGATCAAAATCTAGTATTTATTTAAGATACGGGTACCAATTTTAAAACTAGAGACTTTGACGCCACCGTAATTATTTGAATTCAATATTTTCTAAGACATAATTCTATATTTGTATTATCTTTCTTTTTGTATCAGTTATTTTAGGTTAAATATTTTATATTAAACTAAATTAAGGGGCCAGAAAAAATTTATGCTTCTAACCTGGAAAAGGTCAATCACGACCTTGGTCCTAGATCAGACAGGTTTAAGCCCTAGGCTAAACATGTTTAAGCCCAAAACATTTAAAGTTTAAAAGATTCGACTTTTTTGGTTTATATAATTAACTTCAACCCCGATAATTTATAGGACTGGATGGATTCGGATCACGGGTTTCGGCCTTAATTTTGACATGTCTAACTAAGGATCCAGCAAACATTGAACGTTTGTTCCATACAATTAAACTCATCAAAACTGTCAAAAAACTTATACACGACTCCAAAGATTTAATTCTCCCTTTATAGGCAAGCTAAGGGAGAAACGCAGAAGCAGAGCCTTGAAGCTCTACTTTGGTTATGAAACTGATCCATCTCCTCAACCGAAGACTAAATCCGCTAAGAAGAACTAATGTAAGAAAGAGTAGAAGCTTCATGTTTGTGTTTTAGACTATATTTTCAGTTGTAGTATGTTCATATAATTAGAATCATCTCCCCATTAACAGGCCAATGTTGAAAAAGGTAATAGTATTAGGAAAGCATGTATGTATAATTAATTATAGACATTGAAGTCCTTGGTTATAAGACTTCTTATAGCGATTTTGTATCTTATGACTAGAAGAGTTTGGTCATGGTGATGACAACAGAAAAGACGATGATCTTAAATGATGATGTGAAGCATGGACTAAAGTTATCGTGTTTAGCGTTATTAAATTAACTAGATCCTTTGTCCGCGCTACGCGCGGATAATGTACACTAATTTTTTTCATTTCAATTTTTTTTTGATATTTTACATTATATTATATTTAATAATAAAATTGATAGTAATGCATTGGTTTGATTAATAAAATAACCTTATGATTTAAAATATGATAATGATAATTTGAAATTTTTCATTATGATTTTTAGATATAATTATATTATCTTTTTAATTATTGTTTGCATATTTGCATTAATGTCCATGAAAAATGATTAATATATGTTTTAATAATATTTTAAATAAGTGATATGTTATCTAAATGTTTGTTTTTTTCATAAATTTTATTATTATTTTTATGTTTTGTCTAAACTACTACATTTTGAATAGAAATGTCTATATTTACATTAGCCACATTTACCCTTATTTTTTAAGAATTAAATAGATACTTATAATCATAAAATTAACTAATGTAAATTTTAGAGTTTAGATTCGAGGGATACTATTTCGAAAGATGAGGTATAGGATTTTAATAAATATATAAACAAATAATTATTTTTTATAAAACAAATTTTAAGAATTTTTAAAAAAAATTGAATTCGAAAATGAAACTTTGAAAAAAAATATGAAAATGAAAATTTGAAATAAATAAATTTGAAAACAAAAATTTGAACAAAAAAATTTTAAAAGAAAATTATAAAAGTTCTAATTTGAAATTGTATAATTCAATAACTATATAATAAAATTATTTTATTATTTATTTAAATAATTATTTATGTTTATACATCGATAAAGTAAGGATATATGAGTTTTTTTACTCTTTAATGAAGAAGGTATTTGTAAGAGTATCATTTAATGAAGGTAAATATGAACTGCAGTACTATAAAACAAAGGTAAAAGTGAATATATTTCTTATTTATATGTTTTAGAAGACTTGTATATATATTTTTGTACCTTTACTTCTTAGTTTAACCATATTTTATTTTACTATTTTTTATTGTTTCATTTTTTTCTTTGTTAAACCAAATATATACAATACATTAATATATTATTGTTTTTGAACATACAAAATATTACTGTTTTGAACTTACAATATATTATTGTTTAGTTCGCTTTTTCACAGCTTTAAAATTATTGATGAAGCACAGTTACTTGATGTTTCATTGCTTCTTTCGTTTTTATGAACTACCTAAATCTCTAGCTCATCATATAAATGTGCATTTTCAGATTCTATGACTAAAACGTGGAAACTGTATAAGACAAATGCCATTAGAAACAAAGAGTGCGCATGCAAGTATATCCCCCAAATATTTTGTAGATTACATGCATTGAAGATTTTCATATTTTCTTGTGATTGAAGACAATTGTTTACCATGTTGCATACTGAAAGCAAAATGAGTAGTTTTCGATATGAGGTAATGGTTTAGTGCTAAAGGATCTTCTTTGAGCTCAAATACTAAGGAAAAAAAGGAAAAGAAGGAGAAAAGAGTAACAGGACACATCCCCTGTTTAGGAGCTCCTAAAATACATTCTCTATTCTCTCTATCATTTGAGCATCCTCACCTTTCACCTGAAATTCAAAATTTACGCAGGCGTGATACGAGTTATTGTTCGACTAACACTTATTACATATTGCCATGTAGTCCTCTTGTTTCTATGATTTATATAATTTTTAAAATAGTTTAAATGAATGCTAACACATATGAAAATATTTCTAATAAAGTAACGTTTGAGATGGGCTAAAATACCAATGCAAGAAGAGAACAGCTATTGGCTGGGGTGGTGAAACTTATTATCAGGGTAATTATATTGTATACATTTGGGCAAATCTCGCTGGTTTCAGATTATCTCACTGTAATTATGTTAACACTGAATTTCTCTAAGATTAATGTGTAAAATTTTAAAAACTCACCGGAAACCAAACCCATAGGCATGGATGCATGATCCCACATGGGTTCATTAGGCAGAAGACTACGGAAACCTTGAGGGAAATATAACTTAAACAATATAGTTTGGTCTGTCAACTATTCATGTATTTAGTTAAAAGCTAACAAACATCAAATTAAGAAATGGTTGTCATGAAAGAGCTACCTCATTGTACAGGCTAAGAAACTTACTCTTAACATCTTTCCATTGTTGTCATTTGTGGGCCTCTCAGAGTTTTAATAGATGCCCAGAGATGAACTTCTCTAGCTTTGTTTTCTGAACTCCCCTCCCTATATTCATAAGTTTTGTTTCCTGAACTCTCATCCAGGTCTTTTGCAAGTGTGTTGTTGGCCTCATCAATTAAGTCCAGAAGCTTAAACTTCCTCTGACTTCTCTCACATACCTTCAAAAAAAAAAGAGAAGATTTTTTTTTTGGTCAAGTGACCCAATTAGATATCACCAACCAATATAGAGGAACATGCAAATATATTTGTGAAATCCCTACGAACTACTCGCAAACGAATCCAGGATAAACCTTGTGTACCAATAGTGATGTATGATGAGACTCTCCTCTTTTATTCATAAGTTAAAATCATAATAATCATGCCCATTTTGATCAAAAAATAAATAATCACATCCATATAGCTATAAAACAAAAGCTTTCTAAGTAACCTTCTGCTGTCAAAAGCTAGTTTTCATTTTTCATGATTGTTTCACAGGCCCCACTATGATGGTAAATTGGCTAGATATACCTCGTGCTCTCCTACGCTTGGTGACATAGTATGGAAAATTATAATAACAATTTGGCTAGATATGCTTCGTGTCTACGCTTAGTGACATGTTGCAACATCATTTGGTCATTAATCATGGTCTCCTGCAACAATATCAACAATTGCCTCATAGTAATTCTCTTATATGTACTTGAAATAAATTTTGTTAAAAAAAAAGTACTTACAATAATTATTTGATGAGGTTATATGTATGGCCAAAGTCAATGACCAGTCTCGGTCAGCAGCAGCAGCATCTATACTAATATGCTCCTATGCAGGTTGTTCCACATGCTTCTATATGGTTCATCTTTCTATCACCACCAACATTCAATGAAACTCATCTATCTCTTTATTACATGTTCTGCTTATCAATAAACCCACGCAAGCTCCACGACCTCTAGATATATCTCTATTAAGAACAAATTTTGCGCCTCATTCTTGATTTTCTTGGCTAATCCCCATGGTACAATTCCCTGTCATTTACCTTGTACACCATATCAACTTCAGCACATTAGATGAGAGATGATATTATATTTTTTTCCAACAAAGTCAAACTTACCATTCCTTATATAGGCAACACTATCTTCAATGTACAACAAATACGCATGTGATGTCCTTAATGATCACATTTACCCCGAGACAATAATTCAACTGTAAAGCTAGAAGGAACCGAAATGAATGTAAAGCTCAAGATGTACTGTTATTGGAAACTCACCAGTCCCCACTTGTGAGTACCCATGGCAGAGGAAAGTGGCATGTGCGTATTTACTCTAAGCCGTGAATGATATATAAAAGTTGTCTTCCTCGTAGATTCCACATCTTTTGTATTTGGCTCCATTAAGTTGGATTAGTGGCTGAAAATATCAAAAACAAAAAGAGATATCTCAAAGACAGTAATGATAATGATCATAACATTTAATAATAAGTCAAACTATTATATTCTAGCCGCCTTTTACAAAGTATCAATGTAGTAAGAATACCTCAATCCTACGTACATTTGACAATATCTAAAGACCAAGGAAAGAGGCAACTATTTTACACTGGTTTCAAGATTAAACAGAACATTAAATATGTCGGGAAATCTTGTTAACTTCTTCTTGCCTTGTCTTCTCTCCAGAGAAACTTGGTCTATAAAACGTCCATGAGTTATGACTAACCTATAAAACTGAATCAAGAATAGTTCTTGTGTAACCAAAACATGATCATTACCTTCTTCCTTGCCCTCCATGAAGCATTTCAAGTTTTAACTTTCCTGATTTTTTCTGCATCTGATTCCTCCGATACGCTACAATATGGACATCATCTTTGATCACACTCAGCGACTCCATGGGATTCTCAAAGTAGCTAAAGATCTTGTGCTCATATACGAAAGTAACTAACATGAGAATCGTGTTGAATGTAACCACTGAACTGTGGAGCAACTAAGTTTTGTCTTGAAAACTCGCGGTGCAGCTGCATTACTTCCTGAGTGGCATAACTCCTTCAAGAGCTCACCAAACGCCTTAGCAAGCTCATCTTTAGAGTGAACTCGCAAGAAGTATTCAAGTATGGGAGGTGTGTGTGCCAAACACTGAAGAGCGCTGTTCATGTAGCAGGTGTTTCCCAAATTAACCAGTCCTGCTAATCCTGAAGGTTTTTCTTCCAGAGGTTGCTCATCATTTACTTCTGAGCTCCCATCAACTTCAAGAAGAATCTGCAGCAAGTCATTTAAGCGAAATAGAATATTGTGATTCGTCAGGAATCAAATCAATTTTGGCATGACTGACTCTTGTCTGTAAGAAACTTACATCTTGGGTCATGTGAAGACCTAACTCTTCAATGCTCATGTTAGATACCTCCAAGACTTGGCCTTTCCTCATGTTGAAGTAATCCCAGATGTGAGCCTACTTATACATATTATAATCATCAAATGTGAAGCAAAAACAAAACACAATCTCCATAGTAATGTTACAATACTTTCAAATACACACACCTTTTCTTGAGATACACCTTTCTTAGCACAAACCTTGTCATGAAGCTCCCTTATAGTGGCCTAATAACACATTATTGGCCTAATACCTGCCAAGATTCATGGCCTTTGAGAGAGTTAGACACATTCATTATCCGATCAATGTATAAGGAGGAGATGTACGCAAGCGATTTCTGTTGCTGTCAAGTATGAGGAGTAGTTGTTGCTTCTGCAGATTTTTTCCATCGTTTAGCTAATCTGCGTATTTGGACGTTTTTTAATATTTGTCTCAGCTATAAGTCGGATAATTGAAGCTATAACACTACAGAGGAATACGTTACCAACAAACTATATATTAGATTTACCGTATAGATTAACCCAATAACACAAAATCACAATGAAGCCAGAGAAACAAATTAACCCAAGAACACAAAATCACATTCGAGCAAGAATGATCTTAAGCTTTATATATATTACCTGTCCACCATGAACTCCACATGCCTAGTTGCAGGATCTTCACCACTTAAACTTTTTAATGGTCATAGCTTTATCTTCTTTTGTGAAGGTTGAGACTGGGATTTAAGATTTGAGAGATGATTTGTACATGCGATGAAACGAAACCATGAAGAGAACTTAGAGAAGTGAATAATGAAGAGTGGTTCGTGGTAAATTCATATGATAAACACCGATTTGCAGGGAGGGATGTCAAACGATGCCGAGGAAGTTTAGGAGCCGGGATTGATCGTCAAGAAGATTGGGTTTGAAGATATGAGTTTCAAATGGGCCATGAGAAATTACAAAGCGTAGATGAAGAAATCTTTTTTTTTCATTCTCGACGTAATAGGACCTGACGTGGCAAGATATAAGTATTTGATTGGTTAATTAAATTAACTTACGTGGCATGCCTCTCCTTTGAGGATTAAGGGCTTTTAGTATTGTTAGATAAGGCTTCGAAACCGTGATCTACTACGAAACCGACAATGATGGCAGGAATTTTTTTTTCTTTTTTTTTTTGAGAAATGATGGCAGGAATACTTGCAACGAGAACTTCGACCTCACGACTTTTCTCCTTGATCAACTACAATGTCACAACAAGACCTCGGACAACGAACTGATTTAACGGAATCTTACAAAACTGAACTTACGACCCATGAAAACGATGAAACCAACTAAACGCATGATTTGGATCATCCCGATGATTTTGATGATATTCGTCACAAACGAAAATAGTAATAACCGATTTGAAATATTTTTGTTTCAAGTTGGACATACAAAACATATTGTATGCTTCAACTTAGGGGAATATTCACATATCCTAAACGGGTCAATATAAGAATAAAATATTTCATTATTGTATCTTCCTCTTATTTTTAGATTTATATGTTATATTAGATAAATGATTATAAATTAATATGATAAAAGTGTCAAAATATCTTTTTAAATTAAAAGAACTCTTATATATTCTTTTGTCGTCTAGAAATAATATTTGTATCATAAAAATTTAAAATTAACATACAAAACAATTTAAAATTAATTAATAATAATAAAAAATATCTAAAAATATTTTTTGGAATATTTCTAATATGTGAGTATTTTAAATTTTCAACCCATTAATAAGGATATATATTTTAATTGTTTGTTTAAACTTTTGAGAACATCTATACTATTATTTGCGAAGGGATTTTTCGCAACGAAACTCTAACGTTAAAAGTTAAAGTGGTTAATATCGATTATACCTTTAATGAATAAACTATATAAATTAGCTAAAAATTTAAAACGAAATTAATATTTATTTTACTATATTATTTGTTAAAATTAATAACAAGAAGAATTATTCAAATCTAAAATATAGATCTTATTTTAAAAAGATAATTCTTATATATATTGTGTTGTTATCAAAAAATACATATATTAAAATTCAAAAAATCATAAACAGAAAATATATAAATTAATATTAGTAAAAAATTCTTAATTTTATATATTTGAAAAAGAATATTAAATTATTTTTTGATATATTTATTAATAATAAATATAAAAACAAATTCTAATATATAAGAATTTTCTAATGAAAATATAAATAATCATTTATCTTTATAGCATTTTAGTTAATAATGCAATTATTAAAAATAAATATGTATAAATTTGCTAATCCCGAATGTGCGGGAAAAATACCTAATAGATAGTAATTTATCATCAACTTATTGAATTAATAAGACATTAACTAATAAATATTTGTAGAAGTTGATGTCTGTATGTTCGAACAAAATACCTAAATTATATTAAATTTTGGATATAAAGATTTCATATTGATTTTTTTTTAATATGTGAAAGACCTTGATAAATTAACTTACAACTGGTTTGAAATTGGATGCCGATGAAATTTTATAAACCCTCTAATTAAGAGCTATCAGCAATAACAAGTACTTACTAAGACGATAAGTGTCTGGTCAAAAAACGCATATATTTCATTCAGAAAGTAAACCCTCTGGAGGAAAATAAGCCGTGTGTCTGTGTGATTCTCAAAAGCTAACTTCTTTTTTGTCAGCACTCAAAAAGCTAAACTAAAATTAGAATCAAAGTGATTTATTATTTTTACAGAAAAAAGGAATAACGCTTTTACGTTTCAATCAAACAAAGCTTATATCTGAAGACACTAAAAACTTGTTTTCACATAAAGCCAAAATAAAAGGACTCACAGAAACTTGTTCGTTCTTTATTGTACATGTGAAAGACTAAAATTATGCCCATAATGTTTTCTTTTATCTTTTATAATCACTTTGCATCATATATGTTAAGTTAGATGAGTTTCCAATTTAATATCAATTGGTGATAACTAGAGTGGTTCATCTATCTTATAAATTGTTAAAATTTCCTTCCAACAACCGATGTGAGACCTTAGTCCCTAATATGCCCACTCAAAATGATGGCTCTTTGGCGTCAATCTCGAAATGTTCGGACAAAGATCGATGGACCGACTTTAGGCTGGATCGATAAGGATCGGGTTTGGATTGCGTGGATCATGGGTTCAGATACCATGTTAAGCTAGATGAGTTTTCAATCTAAAACCAATTGGTGATAAATGGATTGGCCGATCTATTTTATATATTGCTAAAAATTCCTTCCAACAACCGATGTGAAACTTTAATCCCTAATAATATATATATATATATATAATCCTTGTTTCTTTTGGCGCATGGCATAACTTGTCAAAATCTATTACAAAATCGCTTCTATGCTATCGATAGTTGAGATGGGTGATTCGAATTTTCAGGTAGAAACTAATTTGATTTGAAATATATTCCCAGTTTATGCTATATCTTTATCACCTATAATATTATATATCCCAAGCAAGCTTAATATATAGTTTTTCTGCCATACAATTTTATATTAATAAAACTGAATGATATACAAGATGAGATGTGCACAACGAAACAGAATAACTTTTTGACCAGAAAAAAACAAAGAATAACTTCGAAACGAACACTAACGAAAGCTAATTTTCTCCATACCCAAAAACAATTGTTCTACCCAAAAGAGAAATTAGTCTCGTTGGCCTAGAAACAGATGGAATTCTTGCACTGAGCCAAAATCAGGCAAGAGAGTAAGCAATGCAGTGGACAACTTGAGAATAAGTACTTAAATTCATCTGAAACCCTTTTGTCCACCATGACAAAGCTATGCTAAATAACGTTGACACGTACCAAAGAGAAATGTAACATCTGGGAATAAAACCCTTCTAGTTAACTGCACCCTCGTATTATACGAGGGTGCAGTTAAGATATGTGAATACATTTATCGTACTGACAAATGTACGATCAGTACGATACAGCCATAACTGAGGCTAGAGAGGATTTGGACGAACTTATTGGGCCAATGACAAAGCTAGGACAAAACCACTGAAACAAGAAGTGTTGGGAAAATTTTATAAGATGAATATCACTGGACCAACAGAAGAGTTTTGGACTTGTTTTCCAGTCTAAAAAGATAGGTATAATGATCCGCTCCCAATATATTTTTAATTTTGAAGAATATAGAAGCCGAGAGGTTTAATTCTAAAATTGCCAAAAAAAATCTAAAATGGTTATTTTTTCAAGTGTTAAAACATTTATAATTAGAAAGGGAATGAATAAACTATATTTGACTTATAAGTGTTGGGTGGTCAGTGAATATATGTAAGAAATTCGAAACATGCAGAGTGATGGTAATCCAATTATGGAACGATCAATGTTTAAGTAAGAAAAGAACGATACCGAAAAGCCAGCTAAATAAGTTCGACTATTAGACGATGCATGCTCCAAGTAAGAAAATTTTAACTAGTGATCACAACATGATTATACAAAAGAAAGGTCAGATCTGTGGGAATTAGATAAAAAAAAGTATTGTAGAGATTAGTCAAGCCACATATGGTGGTCATATATTATGTGGATCGTCGGGCCGGTGGACCTTCGATCGTAGGAACCATAGAGTTTGTGGAGCTTTGGTATGATGGATGGACCATCGGGTTGAAGGACCTACAGTTGTATGTGGTGTGGATTGTCGAGTCTGTGAACATCGAAAAATTGAAAACTACAACCATATTAATGTTTTATTTCAACAATTTATTTTCAAACTTTTTTAAGTATCTAACTTATTAAACATCAAAAACAGTTAAGTTAATAGTAAAATATTAAATATATGAAACTTGAACAATAAAGAGTTTGAACTTTTTCTTTCAAAATCTAAATATCCGAACCCAACCCAAAATAACCGAACCCGGACTAATTATATCTGAATCCGATCTGATATATAAAAATACCTGAACGGATACTAAACTTCAATACTTCAATACCCAAAAACCAAAAAAAAATTCGATCCGAACCCGAACATCCACCCCTACATCCAATTATCACAAATTAATTTTAAATTGAAAAC